GATTAAATTACCTCAAAATAGTTCATCAGATTTGTTTAAAATGTTGTGTTTTAGAAAGAGCAAAGATTTTTTACTAATCAAATTGAGAAAGTTTTACAGAAGAAATATCATGAACAAATCCGTGTCACAGCTTGTACAGGAAGTAACTGCAAAGAAAAATAAATGGACATATGTTAGCACTTCAGTTACTGTAGCTAGGAAGTACATATATAATCTCACTAAATCCCTGCAATGGGCATTTAAAATATAGTAACCTAAACATAATCCAATATTGGGAAGTACTGACAAATTGCTGGTTGAATCACTCTCCTTCCTAAAAACTGAAATTTTCAATTTAACTCATTATTGCCACTGGAATCAATCCAGAAAGAGTATTATATTCCCTAGAGCCACACCTGATCCACAATAAGCCCAGGAAATTAACAGTTGTAGTATAGTTCCAAAAGGCATCCTTGAATGAATATAAGAGTTTGGGTTGTTATTTCAGAGAGCTTAACATAGATATTAAAGTCTTCAAAGACAATAACTGTCGTACACTCTTTGTTGGAAAGAAATTACGTGTCAGTAATTCCAGACCTCTACCACTACAGACTACCATAATTTAAATCTTATATCCTAAACTTAGTTTATCACTAGTCATACCATATCTAGTAACTCCTACATGAGGAAAATTTGGTTTTCTAGAAATATAAAATCAATATATGATATGCACTGATTCAGTTGAATCCAAGACCTGTCTGACACAACGTCCTGTGTCTCTTGACAGTTGCAACAGCAAGAGCATAAAAACCTAAAAACCACGAGTCAAATCTTACTCCTACATAATTTTTTTTCATATAAGCCCCTATAATGCAGGGCCTTGAAGGGCTTCAAGTTGGACTGAAATAATTATAACAGTACCTGGCAGACCTTTCTCTGAGCAGCCACAGAGATACTTGGCCGTAGCCTTCACTATTTCTATTGATTCCTAACTTACCATTTGCCTTTTTAACGGCTCTAAAGCATTGATTAGATGCATTCACCGTGACACATCCCACAGAGTGGTTGCTACCACTTTAGAGACCACAGCATGTATCACTTTGCGTTTACTAACACTGCTCCTTAACTCTGGCATCATTACTCGGTCCAGTGAAATCCTTCTGACACCCTTGGACTGCACTTAACATGTCCACATAATGAGCAAATTTTGTCCCCTGCTGTTCAACCCACTCTTTCACATTACTGATCAGTGTTTGTCATGGCTTAACCCCAGCTTGCAACCAAGCACCACACAGCTGGCTTGCTTACTCCTCCACTCCCACAGGGGTGGAGAGGAGAATCAGGGGAAAAAAAGGCAAAACTTGTGGATTGCCACAGGAACAGTTTAATACTTGAAACAAAAAAAAGAAAAAAGAAAAAAAAATATAATAGTAGTAGTAGTAAGTGAGAGAGATTGATAAAACCAAGAGATGCACAATGCAATTGCTCACCACTTGCTGACTGATGCCCACGTGTCCCCGAACCACAATCAGCCCCGCGCTGGGTAACTCCCCAGTTTGTATTTTTAAGGTCTGGAACACCCCTTTGGCCAGCTCAGATCATCTGTCCTGGCTATGTTCCCTCACAGCTTTCCGTGCAGCTCCTCACTGGCACTGAGAAGTCCTCTGCTGAGAGCAAGCACTACTTAGCAACAAGTACAACACCAGAGTGTTATCAACATAATTCTCATGCTGAATCCAAAACACAACATTGCACCGCTGCTAGGAAGGAAACTATCCCAGCTGAAACCAGGGCACTTGGTCTTTGTTTGCTCTAAAGCATACATTAAATGCATTCACAGTGGCACATCCTTCTGAGCAGTTACTGCCATTTTAGAGACCACAGCATGTATCACTTTGCCTTTATTAACACTATTCTTTAATTCCCTCTTATTACTCAGTTCAGTGAAACTCTTCTGCAATTCTTGAGATTGCACTTAACGTGTCTATAAAATGAACAAATTTTGTCCCTTGCTGTTTAACCCATCCTTTCAGATCAGTCTGAAAGACTTATTATTACTATTATTATTATTATTATTATTATCTACCTTACAGTGAATGTGCAGACAATCTTCTGCACATTCACTGTAAAGTAGTACTTTCTGCTCTCTCTTTTAACTACCAGCTTCTTTTCTCCATTGCTGACAGGCATCTGCTTTCTTAAAAACATTTGGTAAACAACCTTCTCAAAAAGCTTTTTGGTAAACCCAAGTTTTCTACATTATTTGCACCTAGTCAATTCAATCCAGAATACGCTTTTCTTTAAAGAAGTTTAATAGCCTTGTGAATCACAACTGAGTCCTGATGAAAGGTATGTCACACCTATTAGATGTCTGTAAGTTTGCAAAGTACTAGAAATCACTCTTAACAGCTTTGGTATTTCCCATGAGACAGGCTACATTAGCTGCATAAATAGTTCACATAATTTATCATCTAAATATTTCTTGCAATTTAGGACTGCTGTGAAGAAAAATTAATCTCCATTTTCGATGAAAAATAGAAAAGATAAAATAGAACAATATTTTAATTCAGCCATTTCTTAAACAGGACTTATTAATATGTCTAAATGATTGCATCTCTAGTACTTTAAGTCAGCCATTTGCTAAACAGGATTTATTAATATATTTAAATGATTGCATCTCTCAGTTGCTTGCTGAAGAGTATTCAGAGCCAGCTGCCTCATTTTTTGTTCCCCCTTTGCTCATGAAGACTGCTGAAGGTGACAACATTCACCTGCTTCATTTTCTGACATGCCTGGATGGCGGTGAGCAGTCTTTTGAAGATATAAATGTTTATGTAATAGACATATGTAGCACCTAAGAATTGTTCCCTACTGTTTTAAGTCACCAGTGCCCAAAATTGAACCTTGACGTGAAAGATGGGCAATAGTGGAACCTTATATCCAGCTGCTCTAGGCTTTATGTAGAGAATCAACTGGCATAAAATTGTGTGAAAGAAGCAATGTTTATAGCTATTAGATTAGCAGATTGAAGTCCTCCTTCTATTCAGAGAACAACACAGCAAAACTGATGGTGAGCACAGGTTCAGAACGGTTGCAGATTCAATATTTGCGTTATCAATCAGAAAACGCAGTAATAAAAAAAGCAGAGCAAAGTTGGATCTTGGCCATGGAAGAAATAATGCAGTCATTGAGTCATGTGAACAACAAAACTACATGAACACAAAGAAATTACTATGGACAAATGTATATGCTATGAAACAATTATTTTTTAATTCAGTCTGTAACATTAACACCAAAGATAATCGTGAACTGCAGTTTCAGTCTCAGTTTTGGGAAATACCAAAACGCATTTTTCATTCAACAGAACTTACATGTTAAAAGCTTTTTCCTTACATCATTACTGTTCGCCGAGGTACCAAAGGCACTCAGAGGACCTGATATTTGACTACTGCGGCGCTTTAGGGCTGTGCCGTGACACAGCTGCTGCAACATCATATTGGAGATACACCCAAAGAGCCTGCACTTGCTTTAGGAAAGTCTGCTTCCAAGTGGATTTGCAGGGAGCTCATTTCTGACCAAGATATTCATACAACATGCTTGTACGAATATCATACAAGCGTATGCACTTGCCATGGGAAAGACAACACTTGTTCCGAAGAAGCAGATTTTTTCGCTAAAGTGTACTGAATGCCAGGATGGTCAGGGTTGGAAGGCAGCTCGGGAGACGATCCAGCCGAGGCAGGCTCACCTGGAGCAGGTGACAGGAACGCGTCCAGGTGGGTTTAGAATGTCTCTAGAGAGGAAGACTCCACGTCCTCCCAGGTGACCTGTCACCACACCCTGTACGTTCCCACTACAGCACAAGAAAACTCCTTCGATCGTGAGCCTGCTCATCACCCGTCTCCCTAACCTGGAAGCTTTGCAGACCTTCCAGCAATCCCAGTCCGTAACTACAGAGGGGCGGTCGGTCGCTTTGCAAACAGGTTTACGGCACTTTCCCCTCACACTTACCACTAAAAGCAGGCGCCGGCAAGCGGGGCGGCTGCGGAGCGGCCGCGGTGTCCCAGCGCCTGAAATCCTTTGAAAATGGCGCGCGGAGCGGCGGCCGCTTCCGGCCCGTCACCGCAGCAACGGGGGGACGCGCCCGCCGGGCCCGGCCCGGCCCTTCCGCTCCTTCCCTTCCCTTCCTCCCCTCCCGCCCCTTCCCGGCCCGGCGGCCCTCGCGCGGCGGGCGGAACGCTTCCTGCAGCCCCGGGCCCCGTCAGATCCGGGAGAAGCCCCTTCGCCCGTGCCCACAGCCCGGCCTCGAGAGCCTGCGAGAAACACGGAGAGGGACGGTTCCATGGGCACATAGTGACAGGAGAAGGGGCAGAGGATTCAGGGGGAAAGAGAAGTAGGTTTAGATTGGGTAGGAGGAGGAAGCTCTTCGCTGTAAGGGCGGTGAGACGCTGAACAGGTTGCCCAGAGAAGTTGTGGATGCCCCACTTCTGGAAGGCCAGGCCGAATGGGGTTTGGAGCAACCTGGTGTCCCTGCCCATGGAAGGCGATTGGAACTAGAGGATCTCTAAGGTCCCTTCCAACACAATTCTATGAATCTCTGAAATCTAGGTTTCATCTAGCAGGTTTGTTTCAAAACTCAGAAGGAAAAACTCACATTCATACTGTTTTTCTTTTTTTTTTTTTTCCTTGCATCTGCATCTCGAAAAACATTCTGCTCCTGCATGTTTATTGCACCTGTTTCTACCTTGTATACACCCCACCTCTATCCAACAACTTGGCTATTTCACCAAGCTGTTTAGAAAACCCAGGTCCTGAATCCCTGGAAGCTGAAGCTCCAGGAGGAGGAAGGATTTACATGAAGTTTAGAGTACACTGATACTACATCATATTTACTAAAAAGAAGAAGAACAAGATGGGTGCAGAAATGCAACAATTCTTCAACAGCCAGCAGCAAAACAATGGAATTAATTCCTTCAGGTATTTTCACCTTTTTGAAATAACTCTTCACAGAAATAAAAGAATATGATGAACATAGTTTAATTAAGAATTATAGCCATAGTCACATTACATCTCAGAACATTAATTCAGTCTTCCCACTGCATAAAGTTCTACATCCATACTTCTCAGAACAAGGAAAGGAAAATATCTGGTAATCTTCAATACTTACATAATTTCTAAGATGAAAAACATTAGTGAAAACAGTAGTATTCTTTTGGCATACTATGAAGGTAGTGCTTACTGCTTTTGGCAAGAGAAGAAATTATAAATAAAAATATTTTAATATTAGGGAAAGGGAAAAACTGTATCCAAAGTGTTTTCACTGAATTAATGCTTTCAAACAGTACTTCAGCCCAATAGAAACACAACAAATCCCCGAAGGTTTTATTTTGCCCTGAAAGGCATTTGAAGCAGGAGTGTTACTCAACATACATGGCAGCTAACTACACACACATGGAAATCCACCTTTTAAAAACCCAGTAACATTTATAGTGTTTGATTCCCTTATACACAGGCACACACTTTGCTAGCTTCTCTTTCCCTTTCTAGAACTTAATGAGACTGTGCAATACTGGAGCAGTAGTCTAAAATGTCCTGTATAGTGAATTCCATAGTAATTCCTGATCCAGGGTAGCAGCGAGCTATCAGCCCTTCAAAGTGCTTGTACTGTCTTATGAATTCATCTTGCATGGAATGCCACACAACCTGCCAAAGAAAGCAAACTTTAGGAAAAGTCAATTGGCACAACACACTGCATAGGTTAACTAGAAAACACTGGCTCATTAACTGATTGTCACTTCAGGTGTCATTTTACAGTTCAAGATTACTAATAAAGTTCAATAGATTGAGTTACTGCATTAGAAAGAAGATTGATAGTTTCTACCCATTAAGATCTGTAATGTTGACATGACTTGTAATAAATGTGCAAAGCAGAAAATAGTAAAGAAAATGGGGAAGTTTTCCTAATAGAGGTATTGCTTTTGTCTTTCAGGAAAACACTCTGAACCAGAAGAGTGCTATAATTCACGTTTCAGACTTTAAAAAGCTGTTTAAACAAGCTTAACTTAAGTCTACTTATTATTTACAACAGTGAAAAAGTTTACAGAGTGTAATAAAAACATTAGATAATACAACTGTTAGAAAATATATAACTGAAAGTATTCTGCTGTAGTGCACCAGCTAAGATTCACATCAGCTTACCCATTCATTTAAATTTACTCTCTACTTCCAATATATTTTGCAGAACAGATGTCACCCATTAATGGTCAGCTAGTGAATCATAAAGGAAGTTACTTTCTGACTTTTTTATACCACTCTGATCTAAATCAGTATTAAACAAATAGAAACAGAATAGGATTATAAAAAACCCAAAAGCTGTACTCAAAATTTATGTTTTTAGAGTTATGCTGAACATTGCCACAGAATACATATTGCAAAAGCAGTAATAAAAAGCCTCTGTGTAACATAGAGTTTTTAAGACACAATTTAGTTTACCTGAAGTAAGTTTTCTTCTTCACAGAGATGTTTATCTACCTTCTTGTAGAGATTATCCAATCCCTTCTTCACTTCTTTACCAGGATATTCCTTTATAACTTTCCGAAGCTCTTGTTTATTAAAAGCCAGCTGATAGCTTACTTCCTCTTCCCGTATACCTTGTGCCACACGAGCTTCAACACCTTCAAAAAAATGCTAACAACAAGTAACAGCATTAGTCCCTATCACAAATCTGAGCTAATGGACTTAATTTGACAAGGGTAAGTGTGGTTAAATCTTGATTCTGCTTCACGACTGTTGTGTTCTCCCAATTTTTGCTTTTTAATTGGGCATGAAGTACTACTCAGCCATAAACATTAAAACACAGCCCAACAATACAGCAATCCAAGTACTAGCATAAAATTGGAACCAATCATTTCTAGAAGCAATTGAGCTTTTCTTTGCAACCTTGTAACTAATAACCAGTCAGCCTCAAAATCCTCAATTCATGAGCTCCTAAGCAGGGATCCAAACACTGGATCTTTTGGATGAACTCCCAAAGCACCTGAGCATCTTTTAAACTATAATTACGTAAAAGCGTATTTGTTCACAATTGCCCTCCCTTCTCACTGTCACTGATCAGTTTCCACAACATAGTAAATAAAGTTTTAGTAAATAGAGGGAAGTATTTCCATGAACATGCAGCTTGAGCTCAACAGTGCATCTGGTCTGGGTAGGACAGAGGTAACTCCCTAGTTAACGTGCTTCACAGCAGCCTACATGGTGCTGTGTTTTGGATTTGTGGCTAAAACTGAGCTGATAAGACAACCATGTTTTGGTTACTGCTGAACAGGTCAAACCTAACCAAATCATAGCACGTAACATCATGCTCAGCTATAAAAATTAGAGTTGGAAGAGGCAGGTTTGGTGTTTGGCTTCAAGGTGGCTGTTGCTCAGAAACTGCCTGGGCATCAGTCTGCTTCTGAGAGGTAGTCAATGACTGCTTTTGCATCACTTTATTTTTCTTCCCTCTATCTTTCTCTACTCCTCTGATTAAACTTTTTCTCCACCCCCAAGTTTTTTTCACTTTTGCTGTTCCTATTGTCTTCCCTGGAGAGGGGGGACTGAGCAGCAATTAGCTATGTGGCAGCTTAGATGTTGGTCAGAGTCCACAAGTGGGAAGCACCAATAAAGCATTTTAATTTTCAAAATGGGAATACATCTTAAATGTCTCTGAAAATAGATGCCTGAAATCCTGTTTATAGAAAAAGCCATGAGACATTCAAGTGGACAGGACTGAGTCTGAACCTAAGTCACCACTCAGTTTAACATTTAGTTCAACTTCAGACATACAGAATTTTCCTATAACTTTTCTTGTTGGAGAGCTCAGAAACCACAGCAATTTTCTCTGCAATTGAGGTGAGAAAGATTATACCAAAAATCCTGATGACTTTTCCCCTCATTTCTTCTTCCTCAAAACCATATGCTTATGACACTGATGTTTAGTCAGTACCATTAATTGCCATGAAAAATTTGGTTATTTTCATCCAAGACTGTTACTCTCATGAGTACTCTTGCCAGACATGCTCCAGTCCAAAATAAGAGATTATGACAGATGCAGTGATAAAGATATCAAATGGTGGAAATAATACATTCAAAAACTATCCTGTACCATTTAAATGAATACTCAAATATACTCACATTTAATTTCTCAAGAGGCTGTCCAAGTGAGTAGATTACATAAGACTGAAGATGATCAGTGTATTTCTGTTTGGCTTCTTTTTTCTCAGCCTCCAGACAAGAAATTTTCAGGCGAGAAAGTGTTGCAAAAATATGATGGAAGTTCTCCATCATGACGACATCCCTGGGTGTCTTCTGACTTTCATTAGCTACTTTCTCAACTGAAAAAAATGAGAAGCAAAACACTTAGAATACCAAAAGGACAAACAAGTTCAGAAAAACATAACCAATAGCCATAATACTATCGAAAAAGGAATTTTGAATTTCATGTAACTGATTACCATTTGTATGAGTCAGAATTAGCACTAAATAAAACGGTACCTAAGAGCCTTCAAAAAGAAGCAACAGACACATTCAGGCTCTAAGAGGATGAAACTTGTATGGCAAAAAAGTCACTCATAAAAAGATATAAAACACAAAAATAACACAAAATAATGAGTATGTATGATCTCTTTTACAGGTGTGAGGAACAAATCACATTCTGAGGAGGCTTACAAGCATGCTTTCAGTATCCCTAATAAATTGCACATGATGGAACTATTTAGGAGAAGTCACAGTAAAATCAATTCCCATCTTCACTAAGACAAAAATCTTCAATAAAGCAGTGGGGGTTTCTTAAATGTACTTCTTAATCTTAGTTTTTGCTTATTAGCTTTATGGTCAAAACTACTGTCAGTCCCTAAATGTATTAATAAAAATAGATAATCCTGCACATACATCTTTTACTTCCCTTCCCCTACCAAAAAAAAGCCCAAACCCAAAAAAACAAGCAGGCAAAAAAAAAAAAAAAATTCTACCCATCCCTCCCTTACTGCACCTAAAAGCAAGCTGAAAGAGGATGGCTTCAACCAAGAGCAGTTAATTGTCTGTGCCTGTTCATCTATTAATCATTTTGCTGAGACTATCAGGATGCCCATCATGAAAGTGATCCAGGGTACCGGAGTATCAGTAATGAGCACAGATTCATTCCAGTCAAAACACTGAACTGCTAACTAGGAAAAATCTGCTACTGCCAATTTTTTTCCTTCCTGTATGATTTTTACAGAGGGAAACAAAAAGACAAGAAACCACATCAGACTGAGCATGCCAGGTTGCTGCTATCTCCCCTCCCTCTTTAGAGTCTTAACCACTTCCCTCTTTAACAACTCAAAGTTATTTTACAGATATGTACAAAGCAAAGTATCTAAAAGTATATTACGATTAAAAGGATTACAATTGCTCACTTAAAATAACAGAGACAACCAAAATTTCAGCATAGTCTTAAAAAAGTCACCTGTTAATTGGGGCAAAATTATATATAAACAGGTAGAAATAATTATTTTAGTAAACTATGACAGCCTCGGAAGACCTACCACTGTCAAAGACAGCTCTAATAAGTTTTATGTAGGCTTTATCTAGATCTCCTCGTCGTTCTGCATTTTTGAAAATTGATTCAGCAAGGGCTGCAAACTCTTCAAATTCAGCAACAAATGGAAGGATCCCAACTTTACTTTTCTTTGAGATTTTTACTTCATCCATCTGCTTCATCTGATTACTCTTTAATTTAAAACAAGAACAAGTGTTAGGTTCCAGGTCATGTAACAACTATTAAAAGAAAAATGCAGAAATACTGAAAAAACTGACATATATAAAAGACAGAAATAATTATTTAAATTAGTACATCTATTTAGTCTTTCATCCTTTTTACTTTTAATTTTTTTTAAAAGTAGAATAATTGGAAAGAATAAGGAAAGACAGTATTTTATTCCCCTTTATTTACTTAGTATTATGAAAACAAACACCCAATGAAAAAAAACCCAAATTTATGCACCAGAAGCAATTAACAATTTTCCCTTTGTAATCTAACGAAGAATTTCACTTTCTGATTCAGCCAAGCTAACGATTCCTTTTGCTGCACAAAGTTTCTTTAGTTTTCTTTTGAAGAAATTTTATTTCTGAGTGTAATAAAAAAATCAGTTTCCAAATATTTTAAGTATTAAACTGATCAAGAATGGTCAGTTTTATGACATTTGCCTAGAGTGAAATTACATTTATGACAATAAAACAAAGTTATATCAACAACTCTGTTTTCACCTGCTATATTTAATTTAATTGTCATAACTGCATTAACAAAAGAAATTTTCAGATAATAGGGGCTGCCTCTGCAAAAGACCTCACATCTTTGGTAAGTCCACAAGGTTTGGTTTTGACAAGTAAAAAAGGCATAGAGCTGTATTTTACTTGATGAATTTCAGTAATCTCAGACGGAGTACAAGTTTAAACAAAGAACTAAGAATGTCAAGTAGCTCAGAATCCTGAGCGAGTGGTCTTACTTAGTACAAATAGCTACTTATTGAGGAAAACTGGAATGGAGAGGAAAAAAGAAACACAACCACCATTTGTTTGAAGGCTTGGCCAGTAGAAAAGTAATAAATTACTAATTTTCACTTCAAATTTAAAGAATTTAAGTATACAGAAATGTAAAATCAAACTGGGTAGGAGTGGGCTTCCTATAATACCACAGTTAGCTTAGTCAGAATAACTAAAGAACTTACAATGCACTTATCAAAGTTCCTTTTGACAGTCACCAAAACATTTCCAAGTGTTGTGCTGAGAAAGGACGCAGGGTCCACATTTTGTGCTGTCCATACATGATGGCTCATCTTAACTAACATATAAAGGGAATTAAAGCTATCAATCTTGTCTCCCAGTGCTATAAGGTTATTCAGCTCAGGTTCAATACAACGAAATATTTTTGTCATCATTTGTCGGATCATGTCCTTCCTATTAAAAATGCATAAGAGGAAAATATTACTCTGACAGTTTACCAGGCTATTTTACATGCTTTTTGATATATTTATTTGATATAGTAGTCTTATTTGCACCCAACAAGTCTCATGACTTTCAGAAAGTCAGTTCCACACAGTAAAAATCAACAGTCACAGGTATAAAATATTCCAAGAAGTTTTTCTCTGTGGAATCTGTCACACACTCTCAGAACTTTGCTAAGCATATTTTTTATATTATAGTGCCAAATTTCAATTTGCAAACTGTTAAGAGAATTCAACAACTATATACAGGAGCACCCATTCTATATACAAAAATTATTCTTTTTACTGACACACTCAGTGTCTAGGTAAAAATTACAAGTTCACTATTCACTTTCACAGAAAGGGAATAGTTTCTGATTTTAGAGAAAAAAGTTTTATAAGCCAAATAAACTCAAACATAGGCTTAAGAATCAGTAATAAAAAATAGCAGCACATACTCAGATGATACTGTTTGTGGAACACCAGAAGTGTACGAACGAGATAAAGCTACTCCATCCACTTCCTCCACTTGGTTCTGTAAGAACAAGGAATGTATGTAAAAATAAGGTTTGTCTCCAATTCTTTATCAAAGCAGTTACTACATCAAAACCAATATAAGTAGCAGTTCCATACCCCCAGCACCCCCACCTCCAGAGTAGAAAACAGAACTGTTGGCAAGTTTCTGGTAATTTTCCAGTCACATTCCACCGAATTCAGTATTATCCACAATTACTTCCCACTGTCTTCCTATATAGCGTGATGGAGTGTTTGTTGTCATCTTATGAGGAAACAAAGCCATGGCAAAGGAAACATGTCAGGCCTTCTTTCATAAATTTTGGTTTATTCAGCCAAAATAAAGATCTTTCCAGTTCATGAAGAAAAACAAATTACTTATCACCTGGATCACATAATCACCAATAAATTCCGAAGTTCTCTATTAAACAGGTCTCTTTTGAGGCCTGGTCAATACTTCTTACTACAGTGAGAGAGAATCTAAGTCATACCATTGCTGTTCCAGAGGTGCTCTGATGTTGTTGCAGTTTGAAAAATTTACTAATGAAGTCCTGTTCCGCCAGACACAGAGGCTCTAGTTCACTTAATACTTGCTCAAAAATCTAAAGGAAGTTAAAATATTTTATCAACACACCAAATACTATGGATGGTTAACAATACTAATTTTGTTTGTTACATACACTTTTTATCTTCACTGAGCTTTAGAAGGCTTACCACTACTTAACAGAAATGGAAACAGCTTGTAAATAGATGTCTAAAAGTAATAGCTGCTTCTTCAACATGTAATCTTCCTTTCTTATCCATGTAATACTGTGAAGGAAAGAACAATCTATGTTTTTCCACAACTAAAAGTTTTCTAGTTGCAGCCTGAGGAAGCACTTTTGTGCTATAATGGAAACACTTGCATTTTAATAGCAAGTCTTGGTTTCTGCCACCATCTTTTCTGCCTGGGCTGCTGAGCAGAGGAAGACAAAATTAAAAGCCTCAGGGAAGAAAAACAGGTCAACTGTGTTTGTTGAAGTTAACTGCCCTGTAGAAAAAGTGGAAAAATAGCTGCTACAGAAACAAATAAGTAGGTTTTGTACTGAAGTATGCAACACAATTTTTAGATTTAAATTAAAATGAAACACTATTTTGGCAATAAGTAATTACAATAGTTTAATTATATTAATACAAAATAAGGAAATTCTAAGTCAGATGTTAAACATATTTCTCTTAGAATTTTCTCTGCAAGTATTCAAAACTTAAGGCATGCAATAATTTACATAAATTAAACCAATCTAGCCACACAGGAAATCCATGCTGATGAAAACTCCCATAGGAAAAAACCCAAGAACTTTGTAGGTCAGCTCAATAGCTTATAACTCTGTGTATATTAAATCACATTCACATATCCCCAGTGGGTGTGAGATGCAAGTGAGAAATTGAGAATAATAGCACAATAATTGTATAAATCTGTTTTAACAAGTTAGTTTCTTAATTCTAGACAAGTTGCTGCTGCAAGTTTGTAATAACTTAACAGTTAATATTGTTTCAGGCATGTATTTTCTCCCAGAAAAAGACTGAGCAATGATTTATTTGAAGAGGTCAGAAGAAAAACATTACTCTCCATCAAGTAATTCAATAGAGAACAAGAAAATTATTTTTATCTCTGACTGATAACTGCTTGTTTTCCTTCCACAGCAGTGAGGAGTTAATTCTGCAAGAAATGGTGAGCACTGTCACTTTTAATGGTTCAGGAAAAAAAGTCAACAAGATGCTGAGGACAGCAGGTTTTACAACAGGATGAGGCCACTCCAATAATAACTTAGTGCTATTGGTTGAAGCTAAAACTGATGATAACTAATGCGAAACCAGTATAAGTAAGATTTTAGGGTTACGCTCAAGTCCTGGCTAAAATTCTTATCTTCCTTGTCTTTTGCTTTTGCTTACATACTGGCAAAATACCATAGAACATAGAATGAGTTGAAAAAAACAAAACCAGTGGAGAATCCATCAGTTTAATTCCTATTAGCTTAAATGCACGTATTAGGCTTAAACGTAAAAGATAATTTTTTATGCTTGATATTCTTTAAAGACTACACACAGCCTATAAAGGATTTAAATAGAATCTTATAATCTGAGATTAATACTGTGATCTACATATTTCTTAGGAACTGCCTTTATTAGCTATATGGTACAGACAAACTTTGAAATAGGCATGTTTTAGGATTTAAAATGTAGAGATTTTTGAACTATAGAAGAAAGATATGTAAGATACCTCTAATACAAAACTAAGCAAGAATCCTATGTGATATTTTAGCTTTACCTTATCAAATTTTGTTCTGTCAGCCACATCCAGGTCAGAGGCAGACATGTTTCCCATGTCTAACAGTGAGGATGACTGAGATCTACGGTTTCCTGAACTCTGAACAGAGAGTTTATTTAGACTAGAAGTAGACCCAGTTAATTTTCCAGAACTTCCATGAAGACCTGTGAAATAAAGACACTATGAAGGAGGAAAATGAAGACAGAATAAAATACTGAAGAATAGGTTTTGTTACAGAACATATGAGTTCTAGTCATAAGAGTTGCTAGTAGTCCTATATTAAAACCAAACAACTTTTGTCTAAGCTATAAATGCTTTGCTGTAAATGTATTCTTTCCTCATTATAAGATAGCTTAGATTCTTCAGTAATTTTCAAAGTACAATTTAAATTCTCATTGTAAAGTATGCCAAAAAGGTATAAAAGGAACAAAACTCTAAAATACAGCAACACAGGGATTGAAGACTTGAAAGCTAAGACCAGTTATCACATATGTGGATGTATTTTGGGCAAAGGCTGCCACAAGCAGAAGAACTGAACCACAGGAAGGAAAAAAATTAAAACGTTTTATATACACACAGGTACTTTTTCATGTTGAACTTGATCTTTCTGCTGTTAACATCCTTTTAACTACACAGTTTGTTCCAGCTATTTTGCTAGATCTACAACCCCATAGTAACTCTGCTGCTAATGCTCTCCCCTCCTTTTGATCATAATTAACATTCAATTATTTCTTCATGATATTTCTGGGCCTTCTCCTAGGACCATGTATTTACTTGTTATTTCTTTTTCCCCCAAATTTTTCAGAAATGTTGGACCAGGACAGAGAAAGCTAATAACAAAAAAGACCAAAAAATTACCATTATTTGATCTCCAAGTAAACTTCTCACATCTAAGCCACAAAGAAACTTAAAAGCAATCCTGCAAGCTCCACTTAACTGTTGTGTTGGTATCTAGTCTAAAGACACAAGACAAAGTCTACAGATCTAATCTAAATTGTCACTTCAGCCTCCTGGAGGAATGGAAAACTATGACAAGCTCTCAGGCACAAACATTTTTACTATCAACTAGCAGTATGTGAAAAACAAAAGATATTGTCTGTATGTGCAAATCTTAAATTCTACGTTGGAACTTAGAGCTGTGCTTCCTTTTTGCTTTGCCAGCCCAATGGTTCTGCTCACATTTACTTCATTCTGAACAGAGGGCTTCAGTGTGAGGTAGATTCTCCCTGATGCAGCACTACATTGTAACATCAACACACATGCATTGACAACACCAACTAATGCAACTAGTTATACTCACTCTCAGTTTCCTGTTTGACAGCACTTTCTTTTCGAGGCAGTGTAGCTGGGATGGATTAGGTTGCAAGCATCAAAGACAAAGACAAGTTAAAATGCAGTTTGCACAAACCATGCACAAGATGCAAGTTAAGCTCTAACTGGAAAGAAACATGCAGAGAACTATAAGCAGCAAGTAACTACATTGCAAACACATTTAGTTGGAGAGGTACTATTCTAGAAATTCAGGATCTAAACTACATGGAAAAGAGAGTAAGTTTCTAGGTATTAAAATTTGATTTTTCTTGTATAGTATGTTCAAAGAACACTTTTGGTAACATGTATTTAAGTTGTCCCAAATTGAGAAGTCCATTAAATTATTTGTCAGACTCAGTTTCCATGATAAATCATATCAATCTATAGACATGAAGAAATTAAAATGTACTTAAGGAATTTTCTTACTGAGTCGGAGATATCATCCACCTTTTCAGTTTAAAACACACACACAATTACTGCAAAATAATTCATATTTGACAGTAAGACTGGCTAACCTTTTCTTAGTTGTTGCAAATCAGGATATTTACATTGAGATTACATCTTTTGCATTCATGCTGCACAAAAACAGATGACTGCAAATTTGGAGAGGATAAAAATAATAAATATACAGTAAAAGAATTTACAATGAGGTTTTTATATTTTTCCTAGCTCCTTTCAGAACTGAAGTTTCCTCAAGTGGACTTCAATATGAAATTTAAAGTAAATGGGTGTTTGTAGAAAATATAGAATCCCTAGAGTAAAAGGCATTTGCATACATACACTAAAAGCAATATGTGGTTTTAAAGAGATCTTGATGAGGATGGATGCTACAAGCCCCCCAAAATGGAGCAGGCAAGCAGAACCTACTGTAATAGAATGAGTATATATTTCTAAATGCCACAAACATGTCTTAAATACCAGATGTTCTCAAGTAGGCAACACTACTGATAATTGTAACATCAAATTCAAATTTAATTCCAGCCTAGTTTTTAAATCTTGAGTGTTTTGGCTGATTTTGAATAAAAAATGTTTAGGCATGATATATTTGGCATATGCAACTGTCATGCATTGGTCATTGGTCCCACTTCTTCGTGATCCTCAATTTCTAAACACATGGGACTTATTACAAAATGTGAAGAACTACAAAGATCAAGCCCTGGACAATCAGGGGAGCCTTAGTGGCTTTTGACAAGCTACATCATATAAACAATATGACAATAGTAGCAGTCTTTCCAACACTGACTTTATGGTATTTAAGTATCAAAGTCTTGGCTTCACCAGAAAAGAAAAAAAAAAAAAAAAAAAAAGAAAAAAGGACTACTTAAGACGAGTGTGAATGCTCATGACCCAGGCTGGCTTTTTTGCCATAAAAATGCAGACAAAGAACCTTGCACTAGCACAGAATGCCAGAATTCTCCCAGCATCCCCTCTGCATTTGAGGCATTCAAATAGCAGTGCTATTCCCAAAGCACAAAAAAAAGGCAAGAACACACACCAACACAACTTGGAAACAGGTCATCTTTCGAATTTGAGTACAACTGGAGCATTATGCAGCTACACTACTCCTTAAACAAGTTTAATATTAAGAAGTGATTTATTTTGAATAAATGTGCAATTATTAGTACAATTACTACAATGAACACAGAAGCCTTTGAAATTACACACCCTTATGAGGCGTTGCGACATAAATAAATTTGCACAAATACATGACAGAAGTCTTCTCAAGGTGCAGCTTTTACTCTGGTAAGGATCGCTTTCTCCAAAATGCCTGATTGCTCCATAACATTAACACAAGTTAGGGAACTGCTACAAAAGCTGTCTCTTCACAAGTACAAATCACAAAACAAGTGTCAAGACAAAGTGTTTAGAATGTTTCAGAAATCAATTTGTATTACACTAAAGGTATCTTATTAGACTAAAGGGTTTTTCTTGCAGTAAGATTGCTTTTCAAGATTTATGAATTCTAATGTTCTGACAAAGACATCTTACGTGCTCTGCTTTCCATGTCCAACAGCTTGCCAAGACTTATCTTTCCAGTTCCCCATCTCTCAAACAAGCCTTACTACCTTCCTGATTTCTTCCTTTGATTACATTTTTCTAGTTTCTACCATCAAACTTCAAAGCTCATCAAACTTCACTCAGGACCCAAAAGAGGCTGATAAAACTTACTACTTACAGCTGTACATAATTTTGGAATTCAGAACTTGCAAACTGGTAAACCATGGCAAATATAAATATTTCAAAGAAGCTTTGAAACACTGCACCTTAAAATACAGAACTGACAATACATAAATACACCTATAGCACTGTTGCTTTTTAAGTATCCAGATAATTTTTTTAAGCTTTACTTCCATATTCACACTAGACTAATCCAAGCAGAAATAATCCCTTAAATATAAATACTTACACATTAACAAATTATGATTTCTAGACTCAAGCTATAGAGGTAAATCCCCGTGAAAAAAACACATTAAAACATGCAAGTTTTACTAGGCAAGATTAGCATTAAAACTAGCTTCTTAAATTCCACCCAAGATTTATTAAAAGCAGAAATAACAGCTGAAGGAATACAAAGCAACGCTGCCCAAACTCCCATTAATTACAAGAGTTGATTTTTCAAATTTGTTCAAGCAATAAAGTGGGATAATTCAAGTAATAAAAAGTGAGTGTAGGTTTGAAAACTGAGAGAAATACTGTATTTTATACTTTTATTTTGACCAATTTCACAAGATTTCAGTTGTGCTACTTCAGCCGTGTGGAAGTCAGAAGTTTTACCAGTCATATTTTTCATCCAAATTCTTCCATCTTGCCAAAAGTAAAGAATTTTACACCATTCAAAATTAGCCCTAGGTGCCATAATGAGTGTTTTATATGCAAATAGTAAGATTCAAAGCAAGATATGTGCCCTCTGGAAGCTTACCAAACTTCTTTCCTTCTCTGGTTGTGCCTGTCATCTTGATCTTGGCAACTTCAAAGAAATCTTTTATTTCCCTTTCATAAAGTCGTGATAAATAATCCATATAATTCTTAAAAGAAAAATTTAAATTTAGTTAACAGGTATTCATACTGATTTTTCTTCTATTATAGGTGAATAACTCCTAAAACCTGTGCATTTTCAAGTCCTTCTAATAACAAACTGGATTGGACTATGTAACTATATGTATTAATGCAGCATGCACAAAAATATATTTGTGATATTTAAACAGCTTATATTCATTTTCATAGTGAGTTCACTGAGCATTCATCAGAAACTTCCACTTTTCCTTCGTAAGGAAAAATATGCAATGCAGTACATACAGATAGATTACTGGTGGTAGAGCATCACAGAATTCATTTCAAGGGTAGAAGAGAGAGAATTCAGCACCTTTCTCCCTCTTCTATCAGACTCTTACTGTATCCCCAAAAGCACACATAAATATGTAATGCTCACATTTTTTTATTAGAAGATCACAAAGATGCCAACCATTCGCTATCTGCTTTACACTGAAGGCAAATGAATAACTATTCAAAAGCTATTTTCAAAGTCCAATTTAAATCTTCTATTTAAGAATGACAAAATTTTAATTTAAAAAATACTTGTTTTGTAACTAACTTTTCCTTGACTTGAATGTATTCTATACTTCTGTAGTAATTTTTTTACTCCGTGTTAGTTTTAAACAAGGTAGTTAAAAGTTACATGCATACAGAGAAAAACATTTCTATTTAATCTAATGTACAAGAGACCTCCGAAGCTTTTGACACTTCCAAGTGAAATGAAGGTCTGTTGAAATAGAGATGTTACACAGGCAATAAGCACACCAATTTGAAATTAGCCTATTTTTTAGGCTGTGTAATGGCAAATTTGTTTTACATAAATATTAAGACAAATATCTTGTGATACCTCAGCATAGACTGTTTGAGGAAAAAAACAACAAACAGAGCAGGAGACCACAAATACTAAAAAATGAAGTTTCCTATTCCTATTTCCTAAAGAAATAAAAAAAAGAGGAGCAGTGAGTTATACTCAATATATAGCAATATTAAAATGACATGTACATACACACAGGCAATTCTCTTGACTCTCAAGCCTAGTCTATAATGTACATTCTCTAGCATCATTTGATCACTTCACATACCTTTGTTAGCCCTTCATATTTTCCATAATCTGTGTTCTTGAGCCACTCCATCAGTTTAGCATATCGAAGTAAATCTCTGTGAAATGGATGATGATTGGGTAATGTCAATTCAGCAGAGTGCTGGGCAAGAGTGGAACTCTGATCGTGACCCTTGATAAGAAAAAGTATTAAAGTAAATCTGGAAGCACTACACACTAGCATTAGAACTTTCCTGAAAATTTTAATATGAAGCATCTCATTCAGACACACAGAAAGGCCTCAAAATACCTTGCATAGAAGCAAGGTCTAGAGATGCAGGCTGAAAAAGACACCTAACATAATACAGACACCAAGTTATTACAGCCAAGGCAGGTAGTGCATCTTAATAAGCTTGCTCATTTTAAGGCTTTTTGCCTTCAGGGTGAGTCACTTTAGCACTTTCTGTAAAAGAATGCAATGTACACCTGAATGAAAATTTAATGACAAGCATTCAATTGTTCCTGAAAAGTTTTAACAGATTATCACATTATTCCTCTTAAAAAAAAGAAAATAGCTGCTTCTGTTTAAAGATGATTTTTCCCACATACAATTTTCAAGTCCTCAGTTAATGGGCAGCCTGGGTGCTAATGATGAGCTTTAGACCTCTCCTCTAACAGCCTGCTCCAATTCAACATACTTTAGTCCACTTTGGCCAAGCCTACCTTGATCAACTCTTAAAATCATCAGTGCACACAGATTCCCTCTCCCTCCACACAAACAGACCCACACAACACACCATCAGTGAACGTTTACTAAACAGTTTACAGCCAGCAGCATAAACCAATCCACTTAACACAAGCTACTAATTTCGTGCTCCTCCTTTATACAAGGATCCCATCATATTGCTAGAACAACACATGATTTAGCTTTTAAGCTTTTACTTGCTTGAACAAGCTTCCTGAATAATTCAGGAAGAGCAAGCAAGGTAACACCTCTGTGCAGCCACACAGCAAAACACACAGCCACTATCCCTGGGTTAAAAGAATGGAGGATAATTTATTTAATTCATTTCCAAATGGCTTTAATATTTTCTGTAAAGTCTTATTTTACTGGGCTTGCCACAAATAGAGCAACAGAACTTACACATTGTGCCATGGAAACACACAAAGATTGTACTAATTGGTCTCCAATTCCTGCATCACGTGCAGGTGCTTTATACAGGTCAGTCAATGTCCATCCCTGGAAGCATTCCTGACAGTTCCATCTTGGACACAACAAGTCAGCAGAATAAGCTATACCATTTAAACACTGCCTTGCCTGTTTCTAAGTTGGAACAGAAGCCAGTTTGGATCAAAACTAAAGCAACTTTGTCCTCCCCTTTTTCTGTTGTACTGGATAGTAATCAGTTCAAGCCTTTTGTTAGAGAAAGCTCTTCCACAATACATTCACAGACTTGTTTAAAAAAAATAAATTTAAGATTTAATTTGTAAAATACCAACTTTTACTAAGTAATGAAACATGAACACTGCCAGCTTCTGGATAAAGCTGAACTACTACATAACCATCACAGAATGGTTTGAGTTGGAAGGGATCTTAAAGGCTCTAGCTCCCCTGCCATGGGCAGGGACACCTCCACTAGACCAGGCTGCCCAAAGCCCTATCCTTGAACAACTGGACTTGAACACTTCCAGTGATGGGGCATCCTCAAGCTCTTTGCAACCTGTCTCAGTACATTTTTGTATCCAACATGAGTGTGAACTTACTCTGAGCCCTGCTCTTTTAACTACATAAACTGACATACAAATAGACCCAAAGAAACAAGTCCTGGCCAACTTCATTAATTTAGGCATACAGAAAATGGGGAAGGATAACACTATAAATTTCACTTATAAAAACAATCCTGTAGTCTGACTTCAACAAAAAGCTAGTGTAATTATAGGAACATATAATTTATGATATATAATTTATAACATGTAATCAGCAACACAGCTGCTCTTGTGATTACTGAGGTCATACTCGATACTGTGGGCATACTTTTGGAGATACGTGTAGGAAAACTTTTCAACAAATCTTTTTTATACTTCTCTGAAAAATAAAATGGAGAAACTCCCTCTAACCCCTCATTTGTCACATTCCTACACCATGCATTTTTAATGTTCAAGTTCATTACAGTTTAACATAATTTACCCGGTGAGTGTAACAGCTTTCATCAACTACATCAGTCCAAATGCTCATTCAGATTACTGCTAGGAAATACTCAGCTATCCCAATTTTTATTTCTTCTTTCATGGAACAATTTTATTCATGTCCCTTTATTACACACAACTTCTCTGGTTAGTAGTTGCATTTTTCATAAAGCTAGATGACAAATTCCCTGACAAGGTAAATTGCTCTTTCCAGGCCAACTTTTCCACAGGACTAATCATTCTGGTTGCAGTAAATTATGTCCTGTTCAAGACTGCTCTAAAACATTACAGATCTTCAAGAGGTACCTTTCCCATCTCATTAAGGGGTTTTCTCTCATTACAAAGAAATTTATACCATTACCAAATGACACCATGAATTTGTCATTCAACTATTTTATCATTTCAAAGCTTCAACCTACTTCCTATTTCAAAGGCAGAAAGCCTGGAGTTGCCTTTAAATTGAGTGCTGAACTTGGTTGTTAAAAAAAATCTTTAAAGTAATAGGTTAATTAATTATTAGTATTACACAAAAAAGGCAACTACATTAACTGTTAGTAAACAGTTTTTAATACTGCAGCAAATGGCACTCTGAAGTTGCATTTCTGTTTAAAATTATTAATATTTATTCTCCTTTTAATATAAAGGAGAATACAACCTTCGTATCTTACAACCATAGTTTGAATCAAGCATTGATTAGTTTGCTTTTCCAAAAATACAGAGCAATTTCATACTTTCAAGGAAACATATTTAGGCTCAAATGTCAATGGAACTATGTTTTCCATCTAATGACTTCCAAATCAGAATGTCTTGCTTATATTCACAGCTTGCTAGACATTATCATGTTTTCATTTGTCTTTTTAATTTAGAATTCTTTATCTTTATCTTATTTTCTGGAATGCTTTAAATTACTTTTTAAAGAAACATTCTAAACAAATAATGCAACTCTTCAGATGTTAAAGGTAACAAAGTATTGGAGTTGAGGTTTTCAATAACATCAGACTAAGAAATTGCTATATTCCTCAAACTAACAAAACAAGCTCATTTTAGTAAGATTACACAAAAATCTATTATTCCTCCAGCACTTGAATCTGTATCTCAAAATGAAGTACAAACTCTTTTTTCCTCTTTTACAACAATGAAAAAGCTTTGCAGAGTCTCATCTCTTGCAGTTAATTAATTCTTCCTGCTTAAACTTAACAGCAAAGTCATAATTTTTTATCTGTTGAGTAATACCTCACAGCTAACAGCAAGCCAAAACTTTCAGAGGACAAGTTTGTATGAAAAACAATGTGAGGCCACTACTAGTATCAGAATTTTAAAAAAGTAAATTGCCAATTGGTAATAGCATTCTCAACAGCACTGAAAAGTGTCTTAAGAATAATAATTTCATATAATGCACATAACATTACACTGTAATAATAATCTCTTGCCATTAAAAAAAAAAATAAAATGCTCAGAAGAGAACATCAGAAAGATATTCTGTTAAAACAGCCACTTCCATACACAAGTCCAATATTGAAACTTTGTGGATGCATTTACACAGGACTTACACAACATAGTTTCTACTTGCTCATTTAAGGGCTGGAACACATGGTCTACACCCAAGTTTTCAAAATATACAAAGTGACAGAGGAAAAACACCTTCTTAAGAACACAAGCTAAAGGCAAAAAAATATTATGTTGGGGAGCTGGAATTCTTCTGCAACGTGAAGAAAATGCAGGAAGCAGTTATCTTTGCCATAAAAAGCCAGGCTCTGGCTGCAATTTTCTATACAATTATCCAGTGTTACTCTATTCCATTTTCTTCACACAATCTAATACATAAAATTTAGAACTGTAAAACTTTTATTGAACTAATATGTATAAAACCAGAATTACTATTTTTTATTTACAAATACTGCAATTTCACACATTTTCAATACCTGTACTGTTGTACATTTTTTACTATTTCCTGAAAATATTTTTCCTCCATGCATGTCAATCTGTCTCTCAGCAACTTTTGGGAATGAGATCAGAGGAATGTTAGCTCATAAACAGAATAACAAAGCTTAAGGGCTGACAAAAATAATAGAAGTGAAAAGGGATGTAAGTCTGATGCTCTGTAATCAGTAAGGACAAATTTCTTTTTGCAAAGTCAAAAATGCAGCTGCTAGTTAGATCATTTCAAGCCCAGGAAAAAAGTTGGTTAGAAAATCTTGTATCAAACTCACTGTACTCACTGGAACTGAATGATAGGAGGACCTGTTATAGAGCTGAAGGAAGGTCTGAGTAAACTGATTGAAGATAAAAAACACATGAATTAAAAACCTGAGGCTAAAAAAAACACCCAGACTTTAGGAAACAAGTGTCAGGCCAGCGTTTTATGAATAATTGAAGTTAAGAAACAAAACCAAGGTTCAGACATTTTATTTTGTATGTTTGGTTTTGGTTTGGGGTTTTTTTTTTGTGGTCTTTGAGGTTCAGACAGCAAGACCTTCTATGTTTTCAGCCGCTAATATCCTTAAAAAAGGTCACTGCTTTTTCTCCTCAATAATCAAGCTCTACAACTAAAATAAACCCTTATATATCACATAATGCATTTAATTCTGATAGCAAGCTGTAGTGGTTTTAGTTCGTCGAGATTTTGGGGGTTTTTAAAAAGAGATGTTTGGGGGTTTTTTTAACATAAGAGACTCCTGCAGGCAGTTATTGTTTGGTATGCTTAGCAATATCTCTGCCTGAAGACCTAGCATTTACTGATTACAGCAAAGAATATGTCCATTTTTAGATAGATTGTTTTCCTTCTCCAGAAAAGTTTGTGACCAAAATTTCATATTCGATAGTAAGAAAAAATACCTGCTGAACAAATACGCTGTTCAAATGACTGGCAAGTCTCCGTGCAAACTGCTCACGCAGGTCACTAAACCGCTGCTGCTGCTGCTTCACTGCATGAAGCATATCATGTCCTACAAACAAAAAGGACTTTAGAGTGTACAAAACACAGAGTAATATATTGTATAGGAGACCCAAAAGGACCAGAGGTCACAATTCCTTCAATGAACAGAACAAAATCTGAGATAAGTTGGCAAGGCACTACGGTAATAAATTTTGCTCGCTAGACAGTAGTCTAACAAAAACGTTACCTGGACGAAGAGCTACATTCATACACTGCAGAAGGGCATCTGCTGCATTAGTGCAGGCCTCAATGCCTCGAGAAGATGTCAGATCTCCCTCCTGAAGGGCCTTTATATGGCCCTTAGCCAGATCCATGTGATTCTACAAAATAATGGATAGTATTGTCCATAAGCTGAAAGCAAATTATTCTGCTATGCTAGTAAACCAAGAAGGATAAGTACTATTTTGACATTATAACTTACTGAAAATAGTGCAACAATGAAATAGAAAAATAAGCTCATTATTTTAAAGGAACTTCATGCTAAAGAGGGTAGTAACCTAAAAGAATGTTATACCTGACATGAACAACCTTAGTAAACATAACAAAAATGCTTACCACTAAGAACTCTATCTCTGACAGTAGTTTAACATTATTTGTGTTGCTGAGATGAATTAGGTGGTTGCTTTCTGAAATTTGATCCATTTGCTCCTTTACACTCTGAAGCATTTCTTCGTAACTGCTCAGCTTTAGTTCAATTTGGTCAACTTCCTTTAGAGCTTCATCCAACAACTTCATCAAGATATTCACCTGTTTCTCTGAGGCCATAATGGACTGAATATTTGCCTGTAAAGAAAATAAAGTCACATTTTAGAAGACATTTTTTATATCTCAAAAGCTTTCTGATACCTCCTTCTCCCTCTACGATTGTCAAATAGCTTCCAAAACTCTTCATAAAATCAACAAAACAAAATAATATAAGCCATAATGTTACTGAACACAGAAATTCCTCAATCTGTGACACTTCCTTGTTTCAAAAAGATAAGATACAAAGCCAAAACTTTGCTCAGGTTCCTGGAGCTGAAGTATTGGTCTGCAGAAAAACAAAAAGCCAAACAGTAATCCCAACTATACCAGAACATTTATTAGTTCCAAAAAACAAAAAAAGAGCATAGGTGATAGGGTCAAGTTTTCTGTTGCAAGATCAGCCATCACCATGACAGCAGCCACTTTCAAAATACACAAGAAACACACAACTTGACAGTTTGAGGAGGCTGTTGTTGGCTCCCTCAAGTCTGTACCCCCTGCATCTCCTAAGTTTTCCAAGAGACCTCTCGAATGCTGGTTTGTCTAAAAAACATCTACATTTCAGTACGTGACAGGTCATGTTAGCTACCTTTTCAGAGAATGCTATTTGGTCAGCATCAAAGAGAACAGTTCAATGTGCTGACACACTGTACATCTGAAGGAATGCTTACCCCATCCAGCACTTGCAGCTCTCTTGACAATTTCTCTGCAAAGGCTTCAGCATTAGCAATAGCGTATTCACACCCTTCCATCATTATTTCAATATCCTGTTCCTCTCTTGCATTTAACTCCTGGTATTCATCCACAGCTTCCTCATCACCTCCTGCTACACTTTGATTCTCTCCACTTGGAACAGATTCTTAGGCAGAGAAGGAAAATAAATCACGTTATCAAGTCCAGAAAGTCACAAGTATTTTAAGAGTACTTAAGTATGTTTAACTACCTGTAAGTAAATCAATCCATTAAACAATTCTCCTAAAAAGCACCTGCTGCCTATGAACACATTTTTCAAGCCTCAGTCTTCCACAAGCTACATTACAATTTCCAGAACTGATTCCCAAGAGTGATGTTTTCCAAATTACGTAACATAAGCAAAATACAAATATCCACCTTCCTTTAATCCAAGGAAAAAACCTAGTCTCAGTTTATTCACGTTTTACACTGGTAATCAGCATTAGAATATATTACAGTATGACACTCAATTTGTTAGTGGAAAATCAGTATTAGTTAGATTCTCTCTTTTGGTTGACAGAGCAGAAGAGAAACATACCAAAGTCAATTAAATAAACGTTATCTTGATGCTCGAGATGAGTTTCACAGCAGGAAAATCAAATAAACAATGGTTTCATTACCTACAATTTCTCACAACAGTGCTTAATGAATTTAACAAGCCACTCAAAGGCTGACAAATGAGTATTAACACAGTCCAGCCAGAATGTGTTTGGGACATTTGAAACATCCCTCTTATCTCTAGCAACTTGATAAGCTAACCAAAGCACTAAAAAACGAACCAAACAAACAGAAGGCATATTATTTAAGAAAATTGCTTACAATGCAAAATAAAGGAAAAAGGTGTTACGCACCTTCTGCAACTTTAGGAAGTTCTGAAGAATTAAAAGGTATGGAAAAGCAGAGGAAAGGAAGCAGAGAATGTTAGCCAGACAAAGCACGAACAGTGTGTATACATTTAAGTGGCAGTAAGTTTGACTGTTTTATTATTGCACAAACTTGAACTGTTAGATGTTGGTTTAAAACAAATTCTGGTCAACACCAAAATACAGAAATGCTATCCTTACTGTTTCACATTTCTAATTCAAAGTTTTCTGCACACACCAGTCCAGTGCTTAATACCAGTAGTATCACCACTTCTGACAGACTCCATGTGATATACTCCTACTTGCTAAGCTTTACTATAAAATGTTAACTATTAAAAGATAATGTGGCCATAAAATGTTTACTACAGGATAAGCAAACAAGATACAAAGCCATCCTAGCCACCAATCAGTCACATAAATTGTAATAAAGTCCAGCAGAATTTAGCACATGCCTCACAGTCAATGAACTAGAAATCTCACATAAAACCCCCTTACCTTCTAGAATGCTACAGATGCTCACTTTTTAAAGCATTTTTCTAATTCAGGGGAAATGCAAATGAGAACAAAAGCAGACTTGTTACACATTTAAACCTATCAGTTCTTGGAGGTAGATTTTATTTTGTTCAAGAAACAGAATGTCTTAAAAATAAAGAAAGCTTATCAATATTTAGAACTTCATTAATGAAGTATTTTGTCTTGGTTCTCAGTTTTCTAACAAAAAAATCTGCTATATAGTCATCTAGCTTATCTGACGACTTAGAAAATATAAAGTTGAAAAGAAATAAGAATTAGAAAACCCATCAGGATTTAGAGTATTTTTTTAGTATATCTGTTTTAAATCAGTAATTACTAAACTTTATACTTCAAATATAATTGTAGAATTTTACCTTCCAACAGCTGTGAACTAACATTAATAAAGTCTATTTTCTTTCTAAGGTATCTCTGATTAAGCTTCCAGATACATGAAATGAAGGTGTTCTTTTCCACTGTGCTGCTTGCAACCCATTTGTACACTTTGTCAAAATGCAAGTCAAATTCAGGACTCTCCTGCAAAAGATGAAATATGTTACATGCTTCACAGTCAAATGATTCTCTAAGTAGCAGAGATTGTCCACACATTTAATAATGGAGATGACAGGATGAAAATTAAATTACACAGATGCCAACCTTAAGCTTGTACAGCAACTTTAGGGCCCTCATGTACCTTAATAAAGGTGCTAAAATAGTGATAGTGAAAAACCCGAATGCATGCTCTGACAGCAGTATTTTGTCAAGGCAGGTAAGACAAAACTAACGCAATACAGAGATGTGTAAGATTTTTCATTAAGTTTATGACAACAAATGAATTTAAGTGGTCAAAAATAGGTTGCTCCTGTTGTTCTGTGGAAAAGTCCACCATATCAGGACTGTATGCTTCCTGTACAGCTCATCCTCAGGCTTATAAACTGCTCATTAAGAACATTTTAAGTGTCCCAGCAAAAATCATTACATACAGCAGAACACTTGGGATATTTGAACAAATTTTCACTGTCATTAGTAGAACAGTCATAAATTCTCTTACTGGAAATTAAGCTTGGGTGAAAAAATTTACATAAGACTTAAAACAAAAAAGTACTACTGGTCCTTCGCAGGTGCTCTCTACAGTCACTGAGAGATCACTACAACTAACGGCAGACAGATATTCAGACTACTGCTATTCAAGCATATCTAGACTACTGTTACTCAATTTACCAGGGTTATATTCTTGCAAAGGCTGAAAGAAAACAGGCACAGGCAGCAGAAGAATGTATCATCTGTTATCAATCTAATTTTTAAAGCAGCCAGTAACAAGGAAGTTAGGTCTAACTTGGAATGAAGAGGATGTTGTGAGCAGAGGACTAACCAAAAAGTGACACATACTTTAACAGCATCTTTGGCATCAACAACAGCAAGGTCTCGAAGTGCCCATGCAGTCTGCCTTTTGTAAAAATCTCCCTTGTCGGATTTTTTCACTTTTACCACATTTACTTGCACTGGTCGTTCCGTTGTCACTATTAAATGAAGTAAGAGAGTCATTTCAAAATACACATGCTACTTTCACATCTGTTTCTGCTGTACTTCAACTTCTCAAACAAATTACCTGTGGGGGAGATTTCGTACTATTTATCTGATGAAAAGAAACATTTTGAAACATTTTCATCCACAATAACCATGTCAGTTTGAGTTTCAAGCAAACAGGCATACATCTCTATACAGCTCATGAGTTAATGACCCCAATTTTCACCTATTTCTTTGATACAGCAGATCTTGGACCATGACCATGTAACTGACAAAGCACACATGTAACTGGAGAGTACAGTCAGAATAAAAACATTTTCAGACATCTTTCAGTCAAAAAAATAGTATAGCAATCAAATTTCTTGACAGATCAACCCAAAGCACCTGACTGATTTTTTAAGAGATAAAATATAATAAACATACACTTAAAGGAACATCAGAACTCAATTCAGCTGCTGTGCCTTTCCTTGGACTCTAACCAATATTCTTTAAAGCATTTTATTTAGGCTTATCAGCTTAGATAACTACTAAACCCTGTTTTAAGCACTACATAAAGCCTGCTTCAAAAGCCCACCAGGGCCAAAAGAATAATTTTTGATTCTTTCCTTTCAAATTACAATGAGATCTGTGAATAAAAGTAATGGGCTTTGCTTCTTTTTTTAGTAGAAGCAATAATGAAAGTACAAGCTATAACTAATTTTCTCCATTAGGAATGGAAAGCACATGTTTTACACAAGTCAAGAATAAGGACTGTACATAAAGCTAAAATAAATGAAATCAAGTAAAAAACAAAGGTGAAGACAAGAAATAGTGTGGTATTCCTATATACCTGTGGCACACAAAAAGCAGTTCCTCTTCTTTTTGCCTGCTTTGCACACGTTCACAATGCTCAATAAACGTTCATCATTGGGAGTGAAAATATCCCTCTGCAAAGCGTGCTTGATTGCAGTCATCTTCTCTCAGCTGAAAGATTTTAGGAGGTAAAAATAAACTCAAGCACATTTAACAGGCACACAAAAAAAGAACCAGTCATGTACTTACAGTAACCACAAGATTTTAAAATTCAATTTTAAAGATAACTTAATGACTTGTAATCTAGAAAGGCATGACTTGGGTAGAAGACCAGATCACTTTAGGAAAAAAATAAAATAAAAAGCTTATTTATTTCAATTAGAAAACTAATTTATTAATACCTGGATGATCCTTCAGCTTAAATTAATGGAGTACAAAAAGCTTCTTTGTAGCAAGGCATTAACATTAAATTAGGCATTAACATAAAAAAGTTGAAACTGGAACCAAGCAAAAAAGACCATCCTATGCTCAAGCTTGTAGAATTCGACCACAAAAACCCAAAAATCAACAAACAAAACAAAACCCAAAACCCCACCAAGCTCCAGAAAATTAAGGAATCAGCAATATTCACTTGATTCAGAACAGGTCCTCACACTACACAGAGATTTTCCCTAGACTGAACAGAGAAGCACATTAGACACCACATTCCAGTCTTTTTATTTAAATACAGAAGTTTCAATGTTATCTGTGCCTTAAAATTCTACAGTGCATTAAAAGCATGATTAGCACACGCAACATGCTGCACTGCTTGATGCTCAGACAATATATGGGGTTGAATTTCAAGCTGGCTCGTTCTCTTGAACAGCCTGAGTTGCTTTCTCGGACAAACTCAACAGAAAAGACAAATCTTGGGCACTACAGTAATTTTGAAGATTACTAACTAAGAACTTTGTCAAAAGAAGGGCCACCATGCCGAAGAGCAAACAGTACTGTCAAGAGAGCTCAGAGCATGCTGTTTACATGACACCCCACGGCAATGTACCACTCCATAGCTGCTAATAACTTTGCTTCTCTTCATCAAATGCTGGGCCCACCTTTTGCTTCCCAAATTGTACCAGGTCACCATTCCTGTTACTCTTCAACAGATGCATAAGATGAACACACAAAATATTGATAATCTGCTGCATTTCAGATTCAGATGCCTCTTTCTTTCCGTATTTAGAATTTTATTCCCTGCTCTAAGTCACGACCAAACTGCTACGAATTGCTGACTCTGCCATTTCAGTGCTACACAGGTTGTCCAGCTTGGGCAGAATACACCTTTCCCATAAAGCACAGCATGATAAAGCCAAGATCCGAGGCTAGCTCTCACACACAGTTCAACTTCTGAGTTACAAACTCAGTCCCTTTAATCACAGCCCCAAAACCTTCAGAGTGTAACAGGACCAAGCACAAAATTAAGCTTTTCACACTTGAGTCCTGCTGCCTCAAAGAAACACAGAATTTAGCCTAAGGAGCTGGAAATAAAACTCCTTCCACAGAAAAAAAGCTTCAAGAAAGCGGAGGCCACACCAGACTCAGATCAATCCCTTTAGACATCGCTGCGTTTTTCCCTGTAATGTTCCCGCCGTGAAACCTGTCAGAGACATCCCACCACGGGAACTGCAGGCCAGACGGGGCTCGGCAGTGTGGGAAGGCTGCTCAGCCCTGCCCGGCCGCTCTCAGGGCGCAAACAGGAAAGGACGCCGCTCCCGCATCCCACCGGCTCACAGCACAACCACAGCACCGCCGGAAATCAACCAAAAGATAACAATTTAACAGAAAAAAAAAAAAAAAAAAAACAAACAAACCAGAAGAGCTACCTAGGGCAGCGGCAGCCTCCCGAGGGCCCGTCGGACACCGCTCCACCGCCTCCCACCTGCGAGTCCCGCACAAGCGGCCCCGAACCCGGCGGCACGGCCACGGCCGAGCGGAGCACCGCGCCAGCCCCCACGCCTGGACGGGGGAAGGGGCGGAGGGTGCCGGGGGCGCCTCGCTCTCACCGCGGTGGCGGGACAGGACCGGGAAGCGCCGGGCCGGGAAGCGCCAGGCAGGGACGCGGCTCCTCCCGCCGCGGCTTCCGCCCACGTGACGGCGGCGCGCGGCCGGGGCCGGGCTGCCGGGCAGCGCCCCCTGGCGGGGAGGAATGGGCGCGGCGGGAGCGCGGCAGAGCGGCCGAACCAAAAGTGACGTCAGCGGTCTCTAGTGACGTCACGGCAGAGGCACTGACGGGGTTTAGGCCTGTTAGGGGACAAATGAGTCCACAAAGGAAATGCAGGTAAACCTGGTGTTGGAATATACATACTGTGCATTATAGCGTCATACAATCAATTTCAAATTACAGTGTCCAGCTGTGACTGCATGCTGTAATACCATTTGGCCACAGCATCAGGACTAACATCACTTCACAGAATCAGCAGGGCTGGAAGAGACCTCTAAGATCATCAAGTCCAGCTATCCACCCAGCACTGCCACTGCAACCCCTAAACCATCAGACCTTATCACCCAGTAGCAGATCCAGACAGCCTTTGATCACCTCCAGGGATGGTGGCTCCACAACCCTCGGCAACCTATTCCAGTGCCTGACAACACTAACAGTGAAAAAGAAGTTCCAGTATCTAATCTGAATCTTCCCTGTCTGAGCTTTAGGCCATCCCCTGAACCCGCTATCCACCCAGCACTGCCACTGCAACCCCTAAACCATCAGACCTTATCACCCAGTAGCAGATCCAGACAGCCTTTGATCACCTCCAGGGATGGTGGCTCCACAACCCTCGGCAACCTATTCCAGTGCCTGACAACACTAACAGTGAAAAAGAAGTTCCAGTATCTAATCTGAATCTTCCCTGTCTGAGCTTTAGGCCATCCCCTGAACCCCTCCTCACTAGAGCTCCTTTCAGGGAGCTGCAGAGGGTGGGGAGGGCCCTCCTGAGCCCTCTCCAGGCTGAACAATCCCAGCTCCCTCAGCTGTTCCTCACAGGACACGTTTCCTGGAGCACTGGTGAGCCTTGCTGCCCTTCACTGGATGCACTCCAGCACCTCAATTTCCCTTTGAAAATGAAGGGCCCAAAACTGAACCCAGTGCTGGAGGTGAGGCTTCACCAGTGCTGAGTACAGGGGACAATCCCAGCCCTGCTCCTGCTGGCCACACTTGCTGACACAGGCCAGGATGCCATGGGCCTTCGTGGCTACCTGGGCACAGCTGGCTCACGTTCAGCTCATATTCATAATCTGTGAACAGCATTCAGAGTATTGCTTTGCTCCTAAGTAGAAGAATCTGGACTAATTGACAGGTTTTGGTGTCAGTCATCATCCAGATGGAAAAATTATGCTGAGACTAGATTTAGGATTTGGCATCTAACCATGAGAACTGATGTCCAAGTTGGCTATGCCTACTTGAATTCTGTGAAAACTGGAACTACCTTTGCTGTGGCACAGGTTCTCCACATGATCAATACACTTACCTATTTTTTAGCATTGTTAATGTAGTGGAGTGCATAGTTAAGGATAGACTGAAATCATTCCAGATTACTTGAATTGTATGTGATTTATTCATTTTAGTGTATAGCTGATAAAATGTATTTGTGAGGCCATGACCAATAAAGAACAGAAAACATCCTTTCCAAGGAATTGTTCTAAATTGCCAGTATGCGGATTTCTAACATGTAGAACTGTGTTTCTGTAATTCCTGTATCCTATTTCCACTTGATCAAAAGCATTAATTGAGATGAGCTCAGTTGATTACAGCACGGTGCTAATATCACCAACGTTGTAGGTTTGAGCCCCATATGGGCAATTCATTTAAGAGCTGGATTTGACAATCCTTGCATGTCCCTTCCCAGAATATTCTGTGATTAAACATGACTAATTTAGTCTTGCTGAATTTACTTTTATTTTCTGACTTACAAAATAACATGCTGCATAATTCTATAATATATCATTCATGAGGGCCATGGTTAAAATAGAAGTTATAGTTTGGTAATTTCTCAATTCAGCCACAAAATGTAACTGTCTCTGTCTAGCTCTATAAAGACTGGACAAGGCCACCATAAAATACTGGAAAATGTTTCATAAAGCTGTTGTTATTTAGGCAGAACGTTTTAGTTTCCTATCTTTTAGCTTTAATTATGCTAAAAGCAAAAATAAATCACACTAAAATGCACTTTTTACTGCTAAAATGGGTTTACACATTAAAGCTGACGTGAGATCACCTATCAAGATGCATAGTGCCAGTGCCATCCTCTCCTCTCCTACTTCAGCTCTCCACAGATGCTCTTTAGAAAGGGTGTTTGATCTTCCAATACTGACTTTAAGTCGTAAAAAAAAAATTTAAATTACATATTAAAAATTACATAATATAATCACTTTACTAGAAAAATATTTATATGTTGAAAGTTACTGAAAGCATTGGTCAATAGATGGCAGGGAAAGCAATATAGGCTTGGTTTTGAAAGAGGTTAGTATATGTATGTTAGTGTATGTACGACTCCAAAACAAGAAGTATGAGAAATAACCTAGAATAATGAGAAATAACAGTCCAGAACATGCTCCCTGCTCTGTTTCACTTCCAAAACTTTTTTTAAAATTCTACATTGATCTGTATTTGCTTAATTTAGGATGCAAGAAAATATTAGTTAACCATGAAAAATAAACTCACAGGAGAGGAGTATTTCTGATGTAAATAAATAACATTTAAATAAATTCTATTGTCATAGGTTTCCCTGTATTCTTAATGATGTTGGTTTAAGTGTTTAAAAATATTCATATACAGAAAGAAATCACCTGTCTTCCATGACAGCCTGTGTTCCCTTTCTGTCTGTTACATGAGCATGAATTTCTGTTTGCTTATGATTTCTCATCTTCATTTTCAGGCTGCCATGTATTTTCTTCTCTCTGGAACAGACTTGGCTAATAGCTACTCCTGTCTTCTGAAGAAAATCTGCATTATATCCCCAGTCTCACGTAATCATTCCATCATGTAGTTGAAACCTTTTATAGGAATGCTACAAATGCATTTGTGTTAATCCTTTCTCCTGTAAGTTTCTTCCTAGTCAGTTTTGGAGAAATTTTCCAGGAGAACTAGATGAATCCCCAGATACTTTATTTCAAATTACATTCCATTTATCTAAGGTCAGGAAATGTGATGAAGGAAATAATTCCACATTAACTGAAAGATGGGCTATTTAGCATGTCGGGTCTTTTCCATTCATAATTTAGCACATTCTCTGTGTCCTGTGGAGCAGCTGTGCTATGCTCACCACAAAGTGATAGTGTCCCTCAGACTTCCCACAGCACAGTCAGGCAATTACAGAGTCTTGGTAGCTGGCATCTTATAGAGAACTATGTGAAAGTAAGGAGTGCCTAGATTAGGTCCACAAAGATCTTTTAAAGTACTCTTTCTTTTGATAGTAACTGAAATTATTGACATGGACAATGTCCCTGTTTTTCCATTCCTTTTGTTCAGTCTGACTGCTCAGTTAAGAATCTCTGAAATACTAGATTATCAGACAGAAGAAATGCCAGAGAGATTTTAATTGCATATTCTTCCACATAAAATGTAGATTTGTGTCTTCCAATACAGCCCGTTACATGTTTATATAATACAAGAATAAAAATGTATAAACTACCAATGAAAGTCCATTAAATATGGTTGAATGTTATAGTAACTGTTTAGCTATCATCAGTTTCTAAAATGATACAGACAATTACTGGGCAAGAATTCAGTATACATTCACTTTATTCCAAAAGAATGCTCTAAAGTGCTCATTTTTAGAGTTCTATGTTTTTATTACAATTACAAGATGAATTATGAAAGCTTTTCCACCCAGAAAACATTTCCTTGTGCCTATTAAGCAAAGAATTTGTAAATATTGTGGAAAACATTGTGACCTCAACAATCAATACACAATTCAAACAAGACGATGTATCATAGATAGCAGTAGCATGAATTATACTTTCTACATAAGATAGTTTTGTGGAGCCTGGATGTTGGGAAAATACTTCTTGTAGCTAATAATCAAATGTCACAACACACCTATTTGCACTGGATTATCCCAAAGACATTCGCAAAAGAGCAACTGTATTGTGCAAACAATCACTAAAATTACATTCCTTCTCTCTAAGAGTATTTAGGTGGCAAATTTAAGACCTGAGTCCTTACAAGTGCCAGAGGATTTGTGTTACCCACATAAACTGCCCTCACAGCTGTCTTACTGTACAGTAATAATTACTAAGATCTGTGTTAGAACCAATGTAATTTGCAATATATGCCTAGAATAAATATCTAATATCCAAATATTAATTAATCCAAGGTATGGGCTTTCCTATACAGGCACAATAGGACAACATTGAAAAAAGTAAAAAAAGCTGTACATTTTACAGGTTTTCAAATATATTCTCACTTACCTGATGATATTTCAATTTTGAATCCAAAGTACATTTACACAAATGCTTTCTTTTCACATGAAAGACAAAGTCCAAGCCACGGTACATGGCACAGCTATCCGATGTTACAGATGGCAGGTGCTGAGAGAGGACACGAACCAGCCTCTGATTTCCTGGGAGCTGACATCACTCAGCTCCAGGTCCATACCCAGTTTAGTCCACAGCCTGCCTTCCTGGACTCTCTTGGCTGCCAAAAGCAAATTTTCTCCTGCAGGACATTCTGACCAGAAGTTTCTCTGAATGGAGCTTACTTTGGGTTGGCATTTTTTTATTTACTTTGGGATGAACAGCCAGCTCACTCAGCTGACATACACTGGGCAGGAAGACCATGCTTCTTACCATTAACCTTGTTCCTTTTCAGCTTCTGCTCAACACAGCTGCCACTTATCCTCTGTTTCTACCATAGTATACTGCTATCACAAGTCCAGCTCTTACATTTTGTGAGCTGTTCTAAACTCCTCTAGAAGATTCCATCCCATGGTAAATTTAGCTCTAAGTACTAATGTCCCTTTAAGTAGTGCACTGAATATGCTTACGCTTAGCTAGAAACTGGTGAAAATAATTCTCATAATTCTATTTTGAAAACTCTTATCACTTACCTACAAAGTAACTCTAGTAACCAAC